TGGATGGATGGATGGATGGATGGATGGATGGATGGATGGATGGATGGTTGGATGGATGGATGGATGGATGGATGGATGGATGGATGGATGGATGGAGCGAGCGAGCGAGCGAGCGAGCGCAGCGCAGCGCAGGCGAAATGAAGCTGTTTTGACCATGAAATAAACACACAATAAATGCGACTTATATATGTTTTTTCCTCTTCATGATGCTTTTTTTGACTGATGTGACTTATACACCGGAAAATATGGTAATCTTTCATTGTACATCCTCTCAGACAGATTGCTCTTGCAGACCTGACCATTATCAACAAAACGGACCTTGTAAACGAAGAAGAGCTGAACGAAGTCAGAGTCACTGTCCGGTTAGCATCATTTCTACTGGTTCTTTTTTTCATATTTATTTGGAAGACTAAGTTTGTTCTATTATAATCTGATTTCCCCCCCTCAATTTAGGTCTATAAATGGTCTTGTCAAGATTGTAGAAGCCCAGAGATCGAGGTGAGTCACCTCCGTCCAAACAAATAAGGGAAAATAAGGTTAAGTAGCTTTTCTGTGGCCCAGGTTTCCTGCTGAGTGTGGCACAGCTCCTGCTCAGATCTTTGCATCAAAGATGAAGCGGTTCCGACAGGATGTTGCCTCACAGACATGCACATAAACAAAAATTACAGCGTTCTGAGTAAACATCCAGCCTACAGCAGTGTCCAGTTACCCACAAGCCTTTGCTCTTTGACCTCAGCGTAACAGGGAGGCACATGTGTAAATGTGCGCGAGTCCAAATATGCAGGGACTGTCTCGTGTGCTGAGGCCTGACACAAAGCAGCGTGTTTGGGCTCTGCCTTATCCCACCCCCCACCTGCCCTGAAGAGTTCAGACCAGGGTGAACGGATGAAAGATCGTGCAGGGGGGGGGGCGGTTAATTGAATTCACGTTGTCAAAGCATTTAGTGTTTGTCAGTTCACTGGGTTACCTTTCATGTTGGTCCGAGCCGAGAGCTGAAACGACTTGTTAAACGGTTCCATTTTACATTGAGCAGAAATAAAAAGCGTGCTTCTCTTTGACAGGGTGGAGCTCTCTGAGGTGCTGGATCTGCATTCTTTCGACAGTGAGGATGGAGCCAAGTGAGTTTGCCCTGTCTAAATCTTTTGCACACATAAAGTAGACGTGTCCTCATTCCATCAGTCAGTGAATTTAAGAACAAAAATAATTTCTGTAAGTTTTGACTGGCCCTTTTTATTATTTGATATGGTGGTTTTTTTTTATAATATCAAGTAATGGACAACTTTGAATATATCTGATTAGAATTTATTTTGGTTTGGATAAAAATGTAAAAACTAAAAATTATAAAAACTAAAAATCTCAGATACGTGGAATTAATTCGCTGCAGCTTTCGGTTTTTGCTTCATTTCTTTGGGAATGCTGTCAGCGTCCACATTATTGTTTTCCCGTTTAAAGCTTATTTTATACGTTTTTTGGTATCTGCACATTTTGAGCTATTTTTAACAATCCAGCAGTCAAAACATTCAGCTCCATCAGGAGCTCATTTTAGCTCATACCTACTGTTTTAGTGACTTTTAGCTTCTGTTGTGCTCCAAACTTTCAGCTTCATTAACACATTTTAGCGAAGTCGTTCCGAACGCAACACTTACGTTGCACATTCTTCACAAATGTCGGAGTTAAAATCGGTGTTACAGATTATTTTACTTTTAAAACGTGTCATATAAAGAACAGATTTTACAGATTTGTCCTTATGAGCTTCTTCTTTGATGCAGCCATGTTTTTCTCTAATTAACGGGCTCTTTTGTTATCCACTCCACCCTAACACCACGGGACGGTCATCATATTGTGTCCCAGCAGAATCTCATTGTCAGGAATAGAATCCATGTTCATCCCTTCATGTGAATGAACCGAGCAACGCGTTGAAGCTCTCTACGTGCCCCGAGTCGGTTTCTTTTGACCAGCTGCAGAGGATTAAAGCTGTATGTGTCCACAGGCTCCTGAGGAGTTGCCCTTGTCCCAACAGATAGCTTCTTTACCCCCCCTCCCCTCAGACCCATGCTGGCTGTTTGAAGTGGCCCCCTGCAGCTCAGCCTGTGTGGTACGAACAGCAAGCAGGACTCAAGCAGCTGGACACAACATTAGCCTCCTTGTGGGGTCAGAGAGAAGTAGGAGAATGGGGGTAATAGTTTATTTGGGGGTGGCTTTAAATCGCCACTAAGCACCTACTCATCTGTGAGGTTAAACACAAAAAGACTTGTCTATTGTGCAGATTAAAGTTAAGGAACTTAAAGGTGTTTTTTTTGCCTCTTATTATTTAAATTATTTGTATTAAACGGCAATAAACAAAACTTACAGACAACATGAAACTAAACACAACATCCAAATCATCCAGTGACATTTTTAACCCCGATGAAACCGCTTGAAGAGTTTCCTGGATTATTTTATGGCTTTACACACACAGACGATGCTGTAATGGAGCAAAGATGACGACTCAGCTACGCTCCTATAAATCGGTTTTACGTCTTCACGTTAGCTTTGTACGCAAAGTGATTGCACTCGGGCGCTGTGAAGAAGATGCAGCACACCAGTTCTGCCACCGGTGAACACGTTTCTCTTTAGTAAACACGTTTCTTTCTGAGCCGCATCAACAGCTGGTCATTCTGCTCTCGTACCCTGCACACACACCTGCAGAGGTACAGGTATCACTGAAGAGGCTGCTGTTGTCTGATTTGTCAGCTTCCACCTCTGACAGGTTTGATCACAAAAGTTTCTCAAAGTTTAAAAAAAAAAATTGTTTTTTTCATTTACGCTTTATTTATCCAGGTAGTCTCATTGAGCCACAATAACTCATTTTCAAGAGAGACCTGTTTAGGGAGCAGATGGTGGGGGGTTGAGGGCCTTGCTCAGGGGCCCAGAGTGGGGTGAATGACGGTGGAGGCAGGTGTAGGTGTTTCACCTTTTCTACCCACATTTTGATGTTGACTGTACCGGGAGTTGAACTTGCAACTTTCCAATCACAGGCCCATCTTCTCTAACCTCTGCGCCACCACTCCCCCTAAATCAAGAATAAATATCAAAGGAATTCCTTGATTGGTGTTCAGTTTCACAAAGCAAGTTGTGGCAATGTTTTTATTTTTGTTTATTTGTTTTCTTAAACGCTAAATTATCTAATTATCGTGTACTGTACTTTTCACTATATAAGTCACACCTTTTTGCATAAATTAGCATGCACTGCGACTTATACAGCGAAGTGACTTATTTATGTTTTTTTCCATATTCATAACCCAATTTTTGGCTGAGATCTGATGATTCCATTCAATCGGACATGGAAAATATTGAACATTACCATTTTCAACCACTAGAGGGCCCTAGACTAATATGGCAAGTAAAGTGTCTCATTAATAGGTAAACGTGGCTATTAATGAGACGCTTGGTTTGCCATACTAAGCCACCTTCGTCTCGCTCCAGAACTCCTGGAGCAAACGTCAAATCAGCTGCATTTCGCCGCGCCACCCAGGCGAAATGCAGCTGATTTGACCATTAAAGTGCATTTATTAAGGGAAAGTTGGACTGAGACACACCTTTGCTATAATGTCGAGCAAACAAATAATTGTTGTTAAGTTTTAATCTTGTTAAATTCTTGTTAAAATCCTCCCATGCACGCTCCCGCAGCCACCATTTGGCAGCCAATCGATTTTTAGCACACCAGCCCACTTTTCCGGGTTGTCAGCGATGACGCATAACAAACGCGACGCATCAGCGGTGACGCATAATAGATGTGACTTACATGGCGAAGTGACTTATTTATGTTTTTTCCACTTTATTAGACATACTTGGACTGATGCGACTTATACGGCCATGTGGCGTGCATGGGGGAAAGTACAGTACTTTTTAATTTATTTATTCCTCAAGCCTTTGTGAATGTGTCTTCATTTGGGGTGGAAGCATTTCATAAAGCAGATCCTCCCCACAAACAAAAATCATAACTTTCCATCCATCCATCATCTTTACCCACTTATTCCTTTTTGGGTTGCGGGGGTCACTGGTGTCCATATCCAGCTGTCACTGTGAGAGGTGGGGGACACCCTGGACAGGTCTCCAGTCCATCTCAGGGACACATGGAGACAAACGAAACAAACAAACACTCACTCTCTCACTCACACATAACTTTCATTAATCAAAAGTATGGCACTAAAGTGACTTTTACATTAGTTGAAAACAGAAACTGACAGTTTTATCTAAAACTTTAGCACATAAGAAAAGTTTAATTTGCATCTTGTTCCATGTAATTATTTATGTATCAACTTTTATTTAATTGATTTGTATGTGATTTAAATAAAATTATGCACACAAAACAAGTCAAAGTATGTAAAATAAGGCATAAATGAGAAACTATTATAAAGCTGAACAGTAGCAGAGAAAGTGGTGGTTGAATTATTCATAGATTGACTTCTTTGAGATGCTGGGTTTATATTTTGGTTCAACTTGGAGATGTCAGTCCGTTTCAGGCAGAACCACAAGTCTCGTTAGAAGCTCACAGCCAACACTTGTTTTCTTTTTATTTCTTTTCATTTTTTTATTTTTATCAGACTCATTTTTATATGACTTCCCCAGAATTGTATATTTGAAGTTAACAAGCACTTTATTTCATTCACTTATAATTTCTGAATATTTAAATATCTGAATTATGTTTGTTAGTTTATTTTCATTTCAGCATTTCAGCCCCCAAAACATTTAATAGTAACCCAGCATTTTTCAGTCAGGTCATCTGGACAGTTTCTTTTTTTGTGCTGAAACGTTTCGCCTTCTGTCCGGAAGACTTCATCAGTCAAGGAAACACACAACAAAACTGATTCTTCCTCCAACATCTTACTCCAAAGTGAAACAAACCAGTTCTGCTTGTGATAAGATGGTCTCTTTGGTACGCCCTCTCCTCCATCGCCGGCCGTCTTCCTTGTTGACAGTCTTGTCAAACTGGTTGAAAACAACAAAGTCCATGCTCAATAATCCAGGTATAAAATCCAACATTTTTCAGTCAGGTCATCTGGACAGTTTCTTTTTTTGT